AGAAGCTGTGAAGTGAATCTTGAGATACCTAAAAGGCTCTTAAAAAACGTGCTTGTGTTTCTCAAGAAAGAGCCTGGAGACACGAGACTATATTAATGCAGATTTAGCTAGAGACATTAAAAGTAAGAAAAATACAACAGGTTATGTTTATACTCTTGGTGGTACTGCAGTGTCATGAGGCTCAAATTTACAGAAGACAGTTTCTTTGTCCACTACAGAAGTTGAGTATGTTGCAGTGTCAGAGGCTGCTAAAGAGATGATATGGCTGTAAAGTTTCTTAGAGGATTTAGGAAAGGGGGTTCAGAATGACACTCTCTACAGTGATAGTCAGAACACCATATTTCTCGCCAGGAATCCAGCATTTCAATTAAGGACCAAACAGTTCACACGATCATTGTTAGATGACAAACAGTTGCAAATTGAGAAAATTTGTGGAAGCAAGAACCTTGCTGATATGTTGACAAAAGTGGCTACACTTAAGAAGTTGAAGTTGTGCGCAACTTCAGTTGATCATCTAACATAAAAATAGGGGTTTTGAGTTGCAAAGGTGAATGATATCATGTTCAAGAAAATAAAAAAGGTAGTCGATATAGCCAGCAGATGATGCAGCTCGGAGGAGGTCAGTGTCACAGTCTCCAAGTGGGAGAATTGTTGAATATGGAGTCTGTGCTCTTCCCGCCTCTTTTAGGATCCCGCTCAACTCTCCATCACGTGGTCTCGCCAAAACTCTCATGCGTCCCCGCCAAAACTCTCTCCCTCACGAGGTCTTTCACGCGGAAACGCGGATTGGAATTGACTTTTTAGCTTTTTAACGCCTCTTGTGAAAGCACAACAAAAAGGCCTGCTAATTCATCCTACCAAAACCCCTCCACAACTCCCGACTGGGAAAGAAAGAAGAAAAAAAAAGAATTTTTTGTCTTTTCTCCCTTGGATTCGTGTGCTAGGTGACTTACGGGATTCTTTTTTTTTTTCCCTTTTTCTTTTGGCTGTAACTCCTTTAGAGAGAAAGAGAGGGGAGGAGAGAAAGAGAGGGGAGGGGAGGAAGCGAGAGACAAAAAAAAGAGTTTTTTCTTGTAAACGTTGAGACACGTCGAGACGCTCGACGGTGTAATTCTTTGAAATAATAAAATCCTCAGCAACTCTGTGGACGTAGGCAAAATTGCCGAACCACGTAAATTTGTGTGTCGCCTTCTTCTGGTGTATTTTTCTCTTCCCAAATTTTTTTTTATTTTTCGTCATCGGTTTTCACAACAGTTAGGGTTTCATTCTTTTAAAAAAGCAAAACTTCATACAACTTTCGTCAGAAATGTCATCAATATCCACATATAAATATGAAATTCTTCACAAAAGGCTTTTGTCTACTAATTTTTTTGAGTGGTTACATGTAACACGGAAAATATATATAAATACAAAAGATGAAACACTGTTGTCTCCTAAAATAGTCTTACTTAATATAATAATATTCCACAAGGTTATGGGTCGACAAGAGAGATCAAAATGAACAAATAATTTGACATGAAAATAATTTTCCTTTTCAATGATGAATCAAACTAGAAATAAATCATAGAGTTTGAATTACAATAACTGAAATAAGGCATTCATTTCCTCCCCTATTTCACATTGCATGTAGAAACTAATATAGACACTTGGTTCTAAACTATTGAATTCTTCAGCAATGCTTTAACGCATAGAAAGACACGGTTCAAACTATGGTGCTACTAATTCAGTTTAAAATGTTGTAATTCAATGACTTTTAAATTTATACTTTCAATCCATCCTTCAAAAAAGAAAAACCAAGCGTCATTTAAACACTTCAATTTGTATTATAAATCTCAATTTTTAAATAGCGCTCCAATGTTAGATACCATGAAACAGAAAAGTAAAGAAAAAAAAAAGTTAATTTCTGAGAAGTCCTCCATTGCTTTGTTAATCCCAACAAAACGAAGGCCCACGCTGCAGCTTTAGGAATACGAAAACAGTTTTTGCAAACAAAAAAAAAAACAAAACAAAACACAACAACACAAACAAATTGAAATGAGAAACAGAATCGGAAAAAAAACAGTGGTTCACTAAAATGGGAGGCAGAGGGACCGAGAAAGTACCGTAGATACAGGGTTGGGAGAGATGACTGACATCGGAGGAAGCCATAGCCCCGAGGGGATATTATCTCCAGTTGAAACCAGGAAAAAAAGAAGCTTTGATGGCCGGAAAATATTCTGGTTGCGTGGAAGTGAAAAGGAGGATAATAAAGGTGAGGTGTAGACGGAAAGGAAGGAATTAAAACGGGGAGATGAGCATCTGCCCACTTCCAAGGCATCTCAAAAGCCTAGAGAGTATAAATGCGCCCGAAAGAAAGGAGAAAGAGGTCGGCGCACAGAATATCAGCGAAGGTAAAGTGTGAGGGAGAAAGGACTCTTGACGCAAAAGCAAGAGAAAGACGACGATTTTGAAGGTCCCTTCCCAGGGAAAAATATTAAATCTAAAATGTGGACAAGCGGATTGTCGACATAAAAACAATTTTTTTTTCGGAGCTCCCAGCCCGAAACCCAGAGCCCAGAACCCAGAACCCAGACCCATTATTGTTAAAATTTAAAAATTAACTTCTGATTGTGTAACCCGGCCTCAATATAACTCAAAATTGTGACGCTTCCAATAACATCATAAAATAATCGAATAACATCACATAATACTTGAATAACACTTCATTTTTCATAAATAAATTCGCACAATATAAAATAACCCTGAGGAATATTCGAATAAAATGCTTAAAAGATCAACTAACACAGTGAAAATTGAAATAACATGGGAACTATTTTGAATAACATAGTCTCAAATCAATTAATACGGGGGAATATTCCAATAACACCATAAAGTAATCGAAAAACACCTCATCTTACACAAATAACACCTTGGAATAGAAAATAACCCCGCGGAATTAAAAATAAAGCGGATGGAGTATTCCTGTAACACAGTGGGAAAGCTAAATAACGCGGAAGAAAATAAATAATGCAGAGAAATATCCCTATAACACAGCGTCTATTTTTGCATTACGTGTGTTATTTAAGTGTGAATCAGTGTTATTCATGTGTTATTCCGGTGTTATTGGAGTTTTAAAACACTGAAAGTTGTGAAAATAAAGTAATTTCAATTGTTTCTGTTAACTTTCACGAATAACATATGTTTATTTGTGTTTTTCACGTACCCAATGTTTTTACGGTATGTAATTTTCTAATTTTAATTAAAAGATATTGAATTTAAAAATAAAGATTCAAGTTAGGATTGAAACGGTTTGCGCGCGCATTTTTTTTTATACCGAAATTCTATGTGGGTCCCGACATTCTGCGTATCGTCATTTATATATAGTATGCAAAAAAACTAATTAAAGAAAATATTCAAGTAATATGTATATTTGTGGAAAGAAGAATTTTTAAATATTGAAAAAAAAGAGGTAAATGAGAAGTGTGGATAAAAACTAAATATTTAGTTGTGATGATATGATAACTTACTATAGAAGAATAATGATAGGAACTTATGCCATTATTGATAAACAAGTTAATTTTTTGAATTACATGAAGGTATAAGGGTTTATTGGGGATGAGGTACGCTGCAAAGATGTTCTTATTGAGGTTAATGAAATCTAGAAGAACATCTAAAAAAACTCTCATAATCTAATTTTATGTTTTGCTTGTGTTTAATTCATTTTGACTAATCACTTATAAAAAAGAATTTCATAAGTAGCAAAATAATAAGTAATTCAGAGTCTATGAGCATTGAAACATTATCAAATAGCCAATCCTTAATATATGTAAGAATAAACAACTCCAAGGCATAATAGGGCTCAAATATAATAATGTGGATGAATGGAAGACAATCAAAGGATTATAATCAAAGTAACACAAATTACTAAGAATGAAGATGACTTTTATGATAAGAACTCTTCGCTTTAATTTCAAAGGAAATTTATTAATATCATAAAAATTCTCAAGAGAGTAAAAATTAATAAGCACAGCTTCAAAGTTGGCAAGACTTATATTTTAGAACATCGAATAATGTATGGACCATAAAAAAGCCCAAAATTATAGTTCAGGAAAGCTATTAAGGAAAGGAAGCTCTATAACCATAAGATAGCTAACGAGTGGGTTGCTTAGCAAAGATCAATGAAAAAACTATTAGTTGAATTTTATGTTTTGAAGGGAATCTCATACTCCATGCAATAAGATCATGATATGGATTATGTATCAGTAAAGAATCTTATTGATAAGTTGCCTTTATATGTCTAGATTAATAAACCTAAATATTTAATCACTACTCCAGCTAGAATCAAATGCAAAATAAATCTATTAATTGTAAGCAATTTTGACCTCATAGAGAGGTTATGCAATTTTTTTTATTTAACTTTTAATTTAGATTAATATCATGGATATATTTTTAAAAAGTATTTAAAATATGTTCCTATGATTTTATTCATTATCAAAGAAAACTTTGATAACATCATTCAATCAACAAAAAATTATTAAGAATTAATAAATGTATTAAAATATAAATAAAGAAAGTGTAAATATCTAACTTCCTATCTTAATAAGACTTGTTGACGTAGGACTTTCTATAAAATATATGTTAATAGTAACATAATGAAATTATAATATTGATCATGTCACATCATAGCATAGCCATGGAGTTGTACTATTACATAAATTACATTATATTAGATGAAGAGCAAGCCTATCTATAGATACAAGAAAATACAATATAAATTGTATGGGTATGAATATAAGTGCACAATATGTAAGTTATAAGCAAATATTATTCATTATCAAGAAACATATATAATCATCTATCATAAAATTAAGAAAATTTTCATCAGATATCAAAGGTTATATATATATATATATATATCATCCCAATGTCAAGAAGGGGAGCTCTGCTAAGGTTTTCGAAATGGAGATGCTTGTTGTAGCGGCTGATCCTCTAGATCTTTGTGAACAATAGAGTTTCTATCGTTTGTTGAGGTTCTAACTAGAGGCAACAATGGCACTGGCATGTTATCTAAGAACTTTGTTTTTTTGCAGGAATATCATGATGCGCTTGAGGGCTCGGGCAATCAATCCTTTGTGAGGAAGTTGGGCAGAATGAATGATAAGTTTGTCATCTACCTATCGGAGAATGATAATGTTGCTTTAGCTCTCTCTTGCAAATTTGCGCTGGTTGGAAAGCTCCTTTATGGCCATCAGAAAATGGAGACTATAATACAGTTGTTTGAAGGACTTAAGACGTTAGGAAGTTGGAAGGTAGGATTGCTTGATGGAAGGCACATCCTTAATCAAATGACTAGAGAAGAGGCTTATGCCTGCCTATTTGCATAAAAACACCTAAAAAATAGAGAGAAAAAACATGAAACTCCTCAAATGTTTGGTTAACTTTGATCCATAAACCAAACTACCTATTGTCCCAATTTGATTTTTGTTTATAGGGTTAAAACTACATTTCTTTAGTCACGAAATATTAGTTTCACTGGGAGTAATTTTTGGTAGACCTATGATAATGGATGTGCCTCCTTTTTGTCTTACACAACCCTCGACAATGAGAGTTCTTATTGAAAGGGATATCACAAAACCTTTTGATGATGAAATCTCGATTAGGTCTACCCATAATGGTACTGTTAGAAGGTTATCGTTGAACAAAATTAATACTACTTTGGCAATTGTTGGATGTTTGACTAGCTTGTCGAAAATGGTTATGTGTTGCATCCAAATTTTATAAAACCACCCCATAACCAAGGGAATTAGGTTGAGAAGACCGTGAATGCACCTTTGGAGGGCCTAATGGTTGTTGGGCATGAGGAGAATGTTTTGGTTAATGATACTGGTAGCTACATACCAAAACTTAGGAGGTTGGTAGGAGGAGTAGAAGAGGAGGTTGACAACTTGTAAGAAAATGATAAATATCATATTGGAAATGATAATAACAATGTTGTAATTAATTTATAAGAGAAAGGGCAGAACAACACTCCAATTGATCAAGTGATTACTATCCCTGAGGCTGTTAACTACCCGATAAAAGGAATGTTAGGATTAAACCCACTCTATTGGAGGAGGCTTTGACCAATGCAATGAATGACCTAGAGGAGGAATGGCTAGTTCAAAAAGCTAGAAGGAAAAGAAGAGGAAAGCAGGAATTGAGGAATCTTGAGACTAGCAACATATTTGATAATGAGCACATATCAATACTCTTCCTATAATTACTAGGAGAAGTGTGCACTCTCAACATGATTAACATATTGATCTGAAACATCAGGGGAGAGAGCTGTGGATCATTGCTTCTTTGATAGGTTGAAACAACTTATAAGGATCCATAAGTTTTGAGTGTTTGCTATTTTGGAACCCTTGGTTCTATCTAATAGAAATCGTATTGTGAAGAAACTGGGGAATTTTAATTTTGTCTCCAACAGTAATAATAAGATGCGGTTATTTTGGAGGAAAGAAACTTGGCTACAAGTGAAATAGATGATCCTCAATTTCTTCATATGCATTTTGATATGAGATGTTTTATGGGTGGGCTACTATAGTGTTTGTTAGTAGTATTCCTGCTCTAAGAGTAACCTATGACAAAAACCAATATTGATAGGATCATCTATGAGTGATAAATGGATTGTGGATGAGGACTTTAATATGATTACTTGTAACTCTAAAAAGCAAGGAATCGGGTTTGTTGATCCTCATCTGATGTTTGTGTTCAATGACTCTATTGTGGAGGCAAAACTATTTGATTTGGGCTTTATAGGTCCTATCACCACATGGAAAATGGGTAGGGTATTTGAAATATTGGATCGAGTACTGACAAATCAACAACGGTTAAATAACCATCATGTTACTATTGTTTTTCATTTGGCTAGCACGGGTTGATAGAGCACTTCTGATTAGCATTTCCTTAATTGACAAGCCTATTAATTCTTTATTTAAATTCATTAACACGTGAAAAAATCATGGGGATTTTTTTGAATGTGTTAAACGAAATTGGGAATTTAACGGGGGTGGAAACACTTGGTTTGAATTGTGGAAATTAAATAAAATTGTTATAAAAGCACTTAGAAGATGTAACTGGGAAGTTTTTGGGGACTCGAATAATAAAATCCTTAAAGCTTAGGAGGATGTTTAGAGGTTAGAAGAAGCAGAAATTTTCTCTGAGCAAGTCAATGAGGAGTGGATGGTTACAAATAAGGAACTTCTACTTGCTGTTAAATGTGAACAAAATTTTCTGGAACAAAAGGCTAGAAAAACAAGATTCTTGGAGGGGGGCAGAAACTCTAAGTACTTTAATTCTTGCATTAAGAATAAGAGGAGAATAAACACTATACTGAGGATAAAAGATGAGGTTGAAGGTTGGATGACAGATCCAAATGAGCTATGTAAAAGTGGGGTTAGGTATTTTGAAAAACTATTTGGTAAGGGTAACACTCCCAAAGCTTTGAA